ATATATATATATATATATATATATATATACAAACATGGAAGGCTTATATACATATGTATATATTGTTATGGTGATTTACCCACAAACACATGGTCTCTCCCAGCTATAAATAGGAGCAGGTACTGCCTTTTAGAGAGGGAAGTTTCCAGTAGTCAGCTCTGACAGTCGGACCGAACATTCTTGCTGTAACACTCTCGTTTGCATATGCTTCTATTACTGTTTTTGTTAATATATTTGTTTAACTCTTCTCTTGTGTCTTTATTTCTGGCTGTAAAAAGGCCACGACATATATATATATATGTGTATATGGAGAGGCTTTTATATATATATATATATATATATATATTTAAAAAATATATGTACATATATATTAATAATTAAGTGACTATCCTGTCACTATTTTTATAATATATATATATATATATATATATATATATATATATAGATAGATAGATAGACACACATATGCAAAAGAGATACACATCAATATTATGTATATTTTGAATGAGATGTCGAATATATATATATATATATATAGATAGATAGATAGATAGATAGATAGATAGATAGAACTTGGTGATTTACTACTCTGAACACCTAGCTATGGAGCAAGATTGGCTTGTCTCCCAGCAAGCACCTACATTGTTATGACCCGGAATGCCCCCTAATGGGATGCAGTACCGTGATAGTTGGTGTGATAAGCTCATGAATGCTGAGCTAGTTCAACTGAATAATAATAATAATAATAATAGTATAAATCTACGTATATACAGACCTCAGTGGCTGACCATAAATTTCCACCTTTTGACAGCATTATCTCCACACTAAAGAATTTTACTGACTGACATATTGATGCACAATAGATGCTAATTTTGGCATAAATTCTCCTGTACTCTTTTCCAAGGATATCTGAGAAACCAGGAATCATTTCCATCAATGAAATGCACCTCTTTGTACAATTGCTTGCATGCCAAAGGGAAAATTTAACCCACGGTTAAAAAAAAAAAAAAAAGGTTATGCCAGGAAGTTGCTCCAGAGGAAAGTGTTAGCTCTTGATGAAAAAAAGGTGAGAGTTAATGCTTTTAGCTCTTTCTCTGTGAAGAAGTTTTTACCTGAATTAAATACAGGTATAGACTGATCTGGAGATGAAGCAATGTTTTTGATGGCAATCACAGCGATAAACATTGTCTTTTACATGTCATCATACAAAATACCCGAGAGCAAACCACTGCGCAAAAAAAATCTTGTGAATTTTCTCTGATGAAATTCATCATTCTTACTAATCAAAGCTTTTGATACAATCCAATAACATGCCTTATACCAGCGATTCTCAACTGTCGTGCTACAGTACACTAGTGACTGTCTATATTTCTGAGATGAGGTATTATGTACAGTATATACATTATTTGGACTATTGTCCTCATCTTTGTCACCATATTTATCACAACGTTTCGGCCGTTGTACGCTCCGGCCTTCTTAAAAGTAAAAATGGTTGCTGAAAACATTAGGTTTATAATACCCAGAAATTCATACCCAAATGTCAAGGACACATGGCACAGTGGATAAAGGCATTGGTTAGATCCGGTGACAAGACCCAAAGAGTGTGAGTTCAATACCCGATTAAGGCAGTGGAGAACTTTCAGAGGGAAAATTAGCAGGAGATAACTGATAACTGACATCCATCAAACATGGCACGTAGAACTAGAACAGTCTACCCCAGTGATCGAAATAAAGGGTTCAGTTCAATACTTCAACCACCTGAAAAAGGCCGGAGTGTACAACGGCCGAAACGTTGTGATAAATATGGCAACAAAGATGAGGACAATAGTCCAAATAATGTAAATACAGTACACTATTGTATCATGAAATACTGTCATGGCATACATGTATATGTAAGTACAAATAGTAGAGCATTCTGTGAGGAAATTGTCTAGCATCGAGAACGTCAGGGAGAGCCATGATCAGCGACACCTTGAAAGGTTTTGGCACATTAAAGCTATCCACTTCTTCAGTTCTTCAGGATGTGAGAGATCCTGGCTTTCCACAACGTCCTACACTCTAGGCAAAGTTTGCCCTTTTACTATATTTTCCAATCCTTGCTCTGCTCATTAGTTAGTCCACTTGATAATTCCCTTTGCCCATTTTGTCTTTGTTATATCCTGTGTGTGTTAGATTTTCTAAGCCCTCTTTCCTCATTATGTGTTCCAGAAATTACAGTTGTATTTCACTGATTCTAACCATAAGTGTCCTTTTTGTTTCAATTTCTCTTAAAACTTTCCTGTTGCTAACATGTTTCAGACATAGTATTCTCAGCATCCTTCTGTAGAACCACATTCAAGCCTCTTCTATGAGGAAATTGTCTAGCATTTACTGCTATAAAGGGGATTAATATTACTTAACAGTTCAGTACTCTTTTTTCTCTGTTTCTAATGAAATTTTCCTGCTGCTTAATACTTTGCTCAGCTTTTAGAAGGCATCTTTTCTTATACCACTATGTCTTCACATTTCTGTTTAACATTTTCCTTTGTCTGTCAAAATAGTCCTAGATATTTAAATATTTATTTGCATTATTCACATTGTTTGGACTGTTGTCCTCATCTTTATTGTCATATTCACAATA